TTGTAACTGGCGTAAGTTATCATTCCGCCTCCAGCTATACTAAATGAATAGAAAACTTGAATAGCGGCATCATTCCATACCTAAATTAAACATTGAAAAATTTAATAAAACAAAATTCAGATTAATTTTATGTATAAAAAATAATGATTTGTTTTGCTCTCTGTAAATGACTCATTATTGATTACTATTGCAAACTTAGATTAAAACTAACTATTAATTTAGTGTAAATAATTAGTGTAATTAAGTAATAATACAGTATAACTTGTTTAAAACGGAAAAATCTGCCTAAATAAAAAAAAACTTCGAAACAATGCGATTACACTGTATAACACATCTATAATTATTTTACTTAATTTATTTAGGGGAGACCGGGGCAAGATCGACATGTTAAACTTTACTTAAATTTTATGTAATAAATACTGCTGTAAACTGAAAAAAAAAGCTTTGCACATTGTCTATTGGAATGTTTTCTTACTATAGAACTGGTTAAAATCAGTTTGGAAATAAAAATAATTAAAATAATTACAACTTTACTTACCTGGACTTACACAGTTATCGCTCGGTCCCACCTATTGCGTAAGTTCAGAGTATTACTGTACTGTTGCATCTCTGTGACCATGCAACTTCCAAATAACGATGTGTGCGAAACACTGCTCTTCTCACCAGCAAATGCCCTTTTGCGGCATCACTTGGCTTCTGACCACTCATTGCATTACGACAATTGTTACTTTTTTACGTTTACCATGTTCTATCATTCCTTAAAAGTTATGACCATTTTCCCTGTTACACCCTGTTAACAGAGGGAAAGTATAATGATCAGGCAAAAAATGACCCCTCCAAGATTTCTATGTTTTTGGTCTCTACATCTTGAAACATCGAGAAATGCAAAAAAAAATTGGGGGTTTTTCTATACATATGGATGTGTGTGGGGCAAAGTTTTGTTCATCCTGTTTAAAGCTTAAGGGAAGGGTATGACTATTCAGATATGAGCAAGTGAGAATATATGGCAAGAAGAGGTGGTGACATTTCACACTCTCTGTTTCTTGCTTTCGTCTGTGTGGTCATAATAAATGAGCGCAAGAAACAGTGCATGAAACATCATCACCTCTTCTTAACACACATTCTCGCTCACTCACATCTGCATAGTTGCATTTTAATTCCTGTGTTTTTTGTTGGAAATTTCTGAAATTTTGCAAGGGGGTTTGTGTATTAGGAGGATTTATGCTATTAAATTTTGATGGTTAAAGGTTGTGGGAATGGGGAGATAAAGGAGGATCATGTATCTCATCTTGAGTAAGGTTGGACTTAATGATGCTTTTATTTGTTATTAACATTTACAATTTTTTATAAAACCCATCCCTAGCCTCAAAATTAAGTTTTTTGCCATCTTATAATATAATCGAGATGGGTTGTTAATAGTAATAAGTGCAGAGCCCAAACGGTTAGGAGTTGAAAGTTGAAGTTTGGTACACAGTTAGGGTACGTCATGAGAATATACACTAAGAAGAGATTTTTCAAAATCCCCCTGCAGGGGAGAGGGAAAGGATTAAGGCTTACTTTAAGGAACTTGGCTTCTATTGTACTATTTCAGATGCAATTTTTTGTTTTTAACTGCGCTTTAGTAGGGTACCACGTGGCGATGAAAGAAGTGTATTCCTTAACAGTGGAAGTGTTAAGAGAAAGCGATGTGCAAGATTCAGGCGCAAATGCAGTTTTTTGCGTTTTTGAGGTTAATCAAACATATTTTTAGACTCATCTAAAAATTCTCTAATTAGTCTGGAAACGGGGGACCTAATTCTTGCATTCTGTGAAAATGGATAAGATTGGCTATAATGTAATAATCTTAATCTTCACTATTGTTACTTTTTCCCCGAGCACACCATGCTTATCTGCTAGTTTTATAATANAAAAAAAAAAATTGTAAATTCTAATAACGAGTAAAATCTTCATTTAGTCTGACACCACTCTAAATATGACACATCCACTCTATATCTCCACTCCCGTGACCTTTCACACCAAAATTTAATAACGTCAATATCCCTAACGCACAAACTCCCTTGTAAAATTTTAGAAATGTTCGACAAAAATCACAGGAGTTATTAAGCTTAAAAATGAGGGGAAAATCAATCTCCCCCACACATAAACATCCAGACGTACAGAAAAAAACAACTTTTTTGATATCTCGACGTTCCAAGGTCCTCTTGTGGGATCATTTTTTGACCGATCACCATACATTCCCTTTATTATATAACAGCAGGAAAAGTAAAAATGTTGAAGCACCCGAAAGAATTTAGTGATTGTCATTATGTAACTCTTATGAAAGTACAGTATACCAAAGCCATTTCTATAAGTGTAATCAATTGAAAAGACCATGAAGTTATGATACTGTATTCAAAATTTTATAATTTATTTTACCTACTTTTTCATTATATATAAAAATATAATACTTGTTTTTAATTTGAATATATTAGTATCTATATTTTTCTAATATAAAATTATTTTTTAAATGTTTATTTAAGTGTCCAAATAGAGTCCCAAATCTAACCATTACGCATCAACGTTAGAAAAAATAGCATTTCAAGTAAAAATATTCCAAATGCAAGGAAATATAAAAAAAATATTATAAGAGTAATTAAAATATATTTAAATACTCTTATAATAAATAATATTAAATACTCGTATAATTTTTATTAATAATTTAAGAAAACTCCTTTGGAATGAAGTGAAATATATTTTTTGACATTTTTTATATCAAATTTTTGCATATAATTTGCATTTCTTCATTAATTAAACATTAAAATTATTGAAATTATTTTAAAAAGTTTTCAAGTTACTATTGAAATTGCAGTAATTACAATAATAAACAGTCTACAGTGGCTCAAATAGTTTTCATAAATAATTAATACGATACGATATAACATTAAAAAAGAATATAAATTTTAAAAAATAAATTACCTGAATATCACCTAGTTTTTGAAAATCAGGCTTTATGAAAAAGATAATTCCGTCAACTGCTCCTTCTAATGTAATGCCTCTTATGAATAAGATGATCAATATAACATACGGGAATGTTGCAGTGAAGTATACAACCTGAAAAAAGTAATTTATCATAACTGAGGAAAAACTAAAATAAAGAAGTAAACCAGTAAAAGTTTTACTTTTCCTGATGTTTTAATTCCCTTAATGAGACAAATTACAACAATAATCCAAGCAACAAGCAAGCTGACCAGCAATTGCCATTTAATGTATCCCATATTTTCAATTCCTTCTGATCGATCCAAAATATAGTTACTAAAATAAAAAGAAATTATTAAATGGTTTTATTTTAAATATTCTCTCTTAAATAAATATAAAATTAGCAAAATCAAAAGAAACAATAATTCTTTTTTCTAAAGATAATATGAATATAATTTTCTTGTTTTCTATGTTAAAAAAACTGAAATAATTTTATATACTTCGCCATGATAATGTCAAGTAGATGTTATAGTAAATTTTATTGTCTATCATTAAAAAATAATTTTGTAGTTAAATACCAAGTGATTATGATTTTGAAATGTTATCGAACTTGCCAGGTATTTATGTTGTAGATAAAAAGATTCTAAAAGAAATTTTTAGTTCTAAAATGCGCCTACAGGAGGAAATATGGCGCCAAATAATAGTATTATTTTGCGCACTATTACTATAATAATATTTTAAAAATTCGAGTTAGCTTTAGCATAGCTTTTCAGGAATCAAAATTCAAGAATTTAATTAAATAAACAACAATAATCCGAAATTTATTTTGTTATTTACAAGTAAAAATAATTTACTTAAGATATTCTTGAGCAGGAGCCACTCTTAAAGTTTCGTTTGCCTCGGTGATATTCATTAAAGCAGCATACGTTCCATTGAAACAGGTTCGATTGAAGAAGACACTGGAATTGTCATTACTTTTGCAGGACTTATAATCCAAATCGTTAAAACAATCTGCGAATAACATTAAAAAAGTTAATAATTTATTGGAATTTTTTCAAACCTAATAAAAAGTACTGTAGTAGGTTTTGTACTTTTTACTGTAGCGATGGTTGGTTATTATAAAGGTATATTATCTATTTAAAAATCATCTCTATGAAAATTATTGGAAAATATTTATGGGATTTATTCAACATTTTAAATATTTTCTAGCAACTGAAGAAAAATCGAGTGAAGAAATCTTACTGAAGAACAAGACTATAATTATAGCTTATTAATTATAAAGTACGATTTATAGTCTTTGGCTGAAATGATTCAAAGATAAAAATAGTTTATAAACGGCAGTTAAAATGGATAAGAAATAAAGTACAGTGGAACCTCGCTTAACGAGCATAAATCCTTTCAGAATCTTACTCGTAATGCGAAATACTCGTTAAGAGAAACAATTTTTTCCATATAAATTAATGTAAAATACGATAAATGCGTTCCGTGCCAAAAAATACTCAAATATTTTACGATTGAACAAAATTTGGAAAAATGTATGATCAGAAGGGACTTTTCCTCTTATGGTCACTCGTTATGCGAAACGTTGCTCGTTAATCAAGTCATTTTCCACAATTTGCTTTAATAGTTATGAGAATTACTCGTTAAGTCAGGTTCCACTGTATACACTTTTTCATATAATCCCAGGGAATGTTTTCGAGGGGTAGTCCGTTCGGATATGTCGGGCCCCGTCCCTCACCACCCGGCTGCCCCATTGTGGGCCTGGCCGAACCCATAATGGGCTTGCAAAAATAAGCCCTCTTAGTGCCCACAGGGCGGAAAGACTTTAAAAAAAACTATTCTAAGTAATGACACAATCAATATATAAATACCGGTATGTACTGTACAGTATTAGATAATTTTTATTTTCTCGGCTGTTATATACAAGGTATAACAGAGGGAATGTGTAGCGATCGGTCAAAAACCGACTAAAACACCAAAACTCCACGAATATGATTCAACAGCCCTGCTAAAAAGACCTATTTAATTATATCCATCATGGATTCAGTCAGACCTATAAATGGGCCTGACATATACGGGATAGACTATCAACGAACAATTCCTGGAAACAGCGGCGTATCCGGGATTTTGAGAATATGGATGTTTCTCAGGGCAGATTGGGGATTTCAAGTTACGCACACCTGTCGTACACACATCTTGAAAATAAATATACTTACTGTTCATGAATAAAATTAAGTCGAACTTCCAATAACAGCTAACGTTAAACAGCAGTCATTTTTTCAGGGGCGGTTTTTTGTTTCTTAAACAAAAAAACAACCTCCAAACAACGGCCAGTTTTTACATTGCCGTCAGTGGCCGTTGTTCAGAGGTTTAACGGTAATTGGAAATGATTTGTAAACTTTAATTTTTTTCGGTCACGAAATCGTAAATTCTGCAGATTAACCGAGATTTCATCAAGTATTGATCTTGCTGAAATTCATAATGATGTACCATTATTTAGAATTCTATGGGTCTGTTAGTGTACATACGCTATATTAAAGCCAAAATATTAAATAATGATATAAAAATGTTTAATTTTAGCACTTACTTTCAGTGTTGAAGTCGTGATGACAATATTGCCATTGCATATCGCTTCGGAATGAATCAAACAGATAATTTATTGTATAAGCTATAATCATATTATAGTAAATGGCGACCAATGCTGCTGCTATAATCATAGCATATCCGATACCTGAAATAAAATATTTCTATTAAAATTCACTAATACATAAACTTTTTTCTTTTAATAACCTGGAATTTTAATTGCAATTTGCAATTCAAATGTTAAATTAAAATTCTTGTTAAAATATATAAGTTATTAATTAATATAGTCTATATATAAGTTATAATAATACCAGCTGACCCCCCTATAACACTATTGATAATTCCGTTTTATATAAATTCCATGTTGTACGAGTCACTTAGATTTTACAAATACGTGTGCCAGGCTGTGAACGGCTCACGTATTTGTAAAATCTAAGTGACTCGTACAACATGGAA